GATGCTTCCTCTGGCGAGAAGGCTATTCGCCAGATTTTGGACGCTGCCCACAGATTTGAAACCCTGTGTCTATCGGACGCCGAACGTAATGGCCTGGCCGGTCTCATAAGGGCGCTTAGTACCGAAGTGGATGATCTGGTATCTGCGCATCAACGGGTGTGTTCTCAACTCTTTTCCTCTTTTTGTCATTTTGTAGGTTGTTGTTTTACCCGTGTTATCGATAGAATAAGAACTACTATCGTTCAAACTAGGCACCTAGGCAAACCTAAGAAGTCACTATTTTACCCTTGTTTCTTTTGTACCGTATTTTTTTGTTACCTCATCACCTACACCGCAAAGGCTTTTTAAAGTTATCTGCTTTTCCGTGTCCGCGCAACCAAGTAAACGTTCTGCCTGCGCATCGGTGTATTTACCTTTACTTGGAAAAAAGCTCTTGGGCGAACTTATGGTACAAAAAGCGCCACAATGTTAACGCCATCGTTGCTTATTGCAGTTAAAGTGTTTCAAAGTAGTCGTAGTGGCGTCACTGATAGACAGCAACACATCAGCGCCCAAGGAAACGCCATGGCTAACTTACCACAATGCAAACTCTAATGCAAACATCAGCCTTATCAATGTAGTAAACTTAATTTTTGAAGTGTTTTCGCAAAGTCTCCTAACGGCTTTACCCAGGAATGTAAATGAAATGGGCTGGCCGCCTCTCCTTGAAGTCTATCAAAATTACCAGCGCCGCACATACTTGCATAATGCATTTTTGACCTGACAAGGTTTTTCAAGAACTTGTAGATTGTTCTGCCAGCTTGTATTGCGGTTTTTAGACCATCTTGACCTGCATAGGTTTAATGAACCAGCTGCCCTAGCATACATTGAGCCACTTTTATTCTTATTTAGAAGTACGTCGTTGTGCAGGCGGTCATTTGAAAAGCATCTACCGTGCTCCTAAACGAGCATAGAATCAATAAACACATGTTATAAAGGTTTGTATTCACGTGTACTTGATTCCGCTGTGATCCCGCCAAATCTAGACGGCCCTAATGTTTTTGCACATGGTGCTTCTTCACGCACAAAGATCGGTAACAGGTGCGAAGACTGAGTCAATAAATTGCATTTCCTGGTGGCGCAGACCGAATACAGCGCCTTTATGAACTGCCTCAATGAGTTGGTTGACTGTGTTTGGCGAGGTTTTGAGTTGACCTCTAGTAATGCTGCAGCGTCAGATTTGAGACAGTGGAGCTGAATTTATAATGCGGGTAGTGAATAAGTTGTCTAAATGACAGAAGCCAACTCGCTTGGGTGACCTGAGACAAGTCTGTACTGAGAAAACGGCCTTACCCACTAGCTTAGCTGCTGGCTATCCGGTGAGCCCACGGAGGACAGACATCCGAACAACGTTGTCAGAGACTGCAAATTATGTAAGCCGTCGGGTCTGACAAGTAAATAGTTAACAAATAGCAGCGCCAAGTTGAAGAATGCGCGAGCCCCGTGATGAAAAAAATGATCTAGCAGCCATGAAATGCCATCTGGGTCTTACGGGTAGCCTCCTGAGTCAACGCGCTAGAGGAGAAAACGTCGAAGAAATGATTCAGATGTCCGTTGAGAACTTGCTTATACTCAGACGTTGCAAGGAACCCCTCAGAAAATGTGCAACTTAAACATCAAGAGTCAGTCTATGGCATTCGCGAGAACTGACATGCCATCATCTGCTGGTGGTTGCGGAGGTCCAGAATGATCGAGCTGGGATAGGCGACTTCGCAGACAACCGCATTAGTCGCTTTGGGCTGGGTTTCCTATGCGA